CCTTTCTTCATATGGCTCCAATAACAGCCGAGGGAAAACAGATGACATTATCAATTAAATGAATCCCACACCATGATTAGACGTACATGTTTCATACTCTAGTATCTGGTGGTTATAATAAATGTTGAGGAACAGGAAGAATTAGAGACACTGATCCAAGCAGATTTATAATTACAATTTCAGGTCAGAAAAATTATTTTTTACATTCTTTTGTTTCAATTCTATTTCAAATAATTGAATGTTGTGAACTTTTCCATTCCTAATACAAATTAACTCGTTGAATAGTTAAGAAGCCGGTGCTGACTCGACATTGCCAACACAGTGTTGGATAAACTGAACTTTGTTTAAAATATTTCCCTCATGGTCAGCTCAAAACTCTCACAAACAGCATCACCACTAGGAACTACAACAACATCACCACAAACATCATCACCACTAGGAACTACAACAACATCACCACAAACAGCATCACCATTAGGAACTACAACATTACCACAAACATCATCACCACTAGGAACTACGACACCATCACTACAAACAACATCACCACTAGGAACTACAACATTACCACAAACATCATCTCTAGGAACTTCAGCAGCATCATTTATATTTTACAACCACCACCACAACATCATAACAGCTAGGGACTACAAAAATCACCTCTAGGAATTAAATCAGCACTATTTACATTTCAATACCATTACAAACACAACCATTACATGCAACCACAAGACCATCACAACCAACAACAGCAGCATCATGCCTGGAGATGCATGACCCCGGTGCTCCTATTCTTGAACTCTGACCTAATACTTTATCTATTAATAGTCCTCAGAATACTTTAACCAACCAACTAGGTTGGTTTAGTAGAAATTAAAAAAAAACAATTATGAAAAAAAATATTTGGCCTTAAAAAAATTTAGGACTAGGCCTACATCTAAACCTAGCACAAGTATTTTTTTACATTGACTTTTATTTTATCATTTTTTTATTCTTTGAATCAATGTGTTTGCTATCTATTTATTCCTTGCTATTATGATTATGAATGTTTGTAAAATTCACCTGATATTAGCGACATTGTTTTCCCACTAGGGCAATGCTAGAATATATGTGGACGTGTTGTCTCCAAAGCGATTTCACCTGTTTTAAATTTCAATATCATTTTTTTTTTAATTTTGATATCACTATGAACAAATTTATACATTTGTTCAAAATGTTAATTTTTTGTTCATGTGACATTAACTTTGATTAGAATGTTTATTTTATGTGTTCATATACATATATATTTAAAATAATCATTAAAAAAAAACTAAAACTAAAAAACTGATGATAATGTGTTGTATAAACTAATTGTGTAGCATACCAAAGACTTGTGTACATAGCCGTGTCTCCTGATTCTGATGTACAATAGCATTTCACTGGCCCACACCAGTGGTATGTGTGTGATTGCTGAATATTTCACCCATTGCGTATTGTCAACATAATATATATCACTATGTGTTTTTTAAAGTGATTTTTTTTTTATTTATAGTAAACTTGTTCAGTCCAGTGTCTTCATATTTAGATGCTACACAAAATTTTGATGTGTTTTTTTTTTCTCAAACAAGTAATTCATGATTTAAATTTGGAAAAATATTTAAAAATCAGTATTTGTTAAATTCAATGTAAATAAATGTCAAAAGTAAGAAGTTGATTAGTTTTTACAATTAAAGGGGAACAATTAACCTGTATATTATTAATTAAGCCATAATTGTGTTTTGTTAACCTGAACCAGCAGCTTAACCGGTTCTGGTTAAGTGTGGTTACAGCATCAGAACCAGATGTAAAGCAGATGTTCACCCATGTTTTCCTCTTTGTGATGGTTGTAGAAGGGAAAGTCTGTCTGAAGTCAAGTCTGTCTCTCATTGTGCACCACACTATGTATGAATTCAGCACATACTCCTGACTAGTCTTTTTTATTTCGGCAGAAAGCCCTGACTATCATTACTCGATCGGTATGATTTTTAACTATTCAGCTATCACTAGCCTGTCTGTTTGATTTCATCAGAAGCTAAACTATAGTTTGATGTCATCGGGGTTTCTAGTTAAATGAGCAAAACTACTTATATCAAATTTTATTTCTGATCACGCTGTTATATTTTCTCTTTAAAACTAAACATCCTACAAGAAAGGAAACAGTTTTTATAACTATGTGTGAAATGAACATACTGGTGCTGTTTTTTTATGTGTGTACAACTCCTTCTCTTGATACTTTTACACCTTAAATACATTTTTTTTCCTATCTGTATCCCTGTCATTTTTTTTAGGAAGGCAAACACTAGGCTCTTAATTTAAAAATAGGCCTAAATCTAAAAATTTTTTTTAAAGATAATTAATTAATAATTACCATTGTTAAAAAAAATGCTTGAAAAACCATGTAGAATGACGTATGCAGAAAATATTAGATCTAGATTCTAGATCAAGAACTCCGACTAAAAATTTTAAAATCCCCAATAGATCTAAGAATCCTAAGATTCATAATATTTCAGAAGCTGTTTTTCCATCTTTTTGTGTCACTCAACCATCCAATCCATTATTTCAAAATGTTCAGTTTCGGATCGTTTTGACTCCCAGCTGTTATGTTATTTAATAATTAAGATAACAAAAAATAAAATTTATATTTAAAACCAAACAAAAAACCCAAGTGTCCAAATGTTAGGTGAGTTCAAGCCAGATTGTTATTTTCACAAAACACTTTCTGACCTTCCTCAAGCTGATAATTCATCATTTTTACGTTATTTTCATAAAAAACATTTTTGTTTTAAAATTAAGAATCTCACTTGTTGTCTAGCAGTAGCTGACAGTTAAAAAATAAATAAAACCATATTTGTGTTTTAAATTGTTTTAAGCAAATAATTCAAAATAGATCTAAATGTCATTTCTCAACAAATTGTGTCTGTATACAAATTCTTTTTCTTTATGTTTGAATGGTGACAGTCGATTTTTATTGTCTTTAAGTATTAAACACAAAATTATAGATCAGTTGAATTTTTTTTTCTTTAAATTTTAATCCAACATATGTTGCCAGTTTTGAGCTCTCAATATTTTTCAGTTTACAGAAGTACTAAAACAATTTCTTTTGTCAAGAGTCCACTTGTATTTTCCTGGTTTGTTTAAAATAACTCGAGAGTTTCAACTCAAACTGATATTGTTTTTATTCATTCAAGTTCAATGTTATTTTTAGATAACTAAACATTTTTTTTGTTCATAGTCATATGTTAATATTCGATTTTTATTTGTACAATTTGTTTTACACACTATTAGTGATAATGTCATTTATTATTATTATTATTACTTGTCCATTTTTATTTCTTATTGTTCCTATCATTTGTGCAACAATATTTGTCATATAAATATGTTTCAATACAATTTTTTTTTCAAATTGTGTTTCAATATTTTTTCTTTCCCTTAAAAAAGCTGAAATGTTGATTGTGCTTCCACAAAATAAAACGCTTGACGTAGTAGTGAGATGCAAAATATCTTTGCTTGCTTTTTATCATTGTTTCGTTTTTTTGTATTTGTTTTTTTTTCTTGGAATGGCGGTAAATTAAAGACAATTACCGAAGCTTATTGGACTGGGGCCGAAAATATGGGGGGGGGGGGGGCAAATTATCTTTATGGGAAATTTTTTTTATTAAACTGTACTCAAATTAGGTCCCATTTCTGATTGTCGAGGGCGATGACCCTATTCTTGTCCATTTAGCATCCCCTCCCCTCACTAATGAATGAAAAGAGTACACGAATTAATGACCCTAGATTGAACTACATGAGGAACCTACAGGCGAATCCACATGCACTACAATTATAGACATGTAACCTATACACTGTCCATAAAGCATTCACGGAAAAAATACGTCAGAAAAGTTTGACGGTCAGAAAGTCGTGTCAGCCTTGTCTACATCGGGTGTTGTAAGGGAGCTGTGTACTAATACAATAATATTAAAGACATACAGTATTTATACAAGTGTCTGATACAAAAGCCCTGCAGTACTTGTAGTAGCGACTTCTTGTAATGGTTCTAACGATACGATTAGAAATATAAGATCAAAGGGAGAAAACTGTATTTATGTCAAATTATTTCTTATAAGTTAGAAAAAGGTCGTAAGGGAGATAACAACAAAAAAGGTGGAACACAAGAAAACCAGTCTAGACAAATATTCTAAAAATTGAAAATCAAAGGAACTTGGTTATTTCTTTTTATATGGGAGTGTTAAAATAAAACATCAATTTTAAAAGAGTTAATTAAAGAAGAAAGTTGATGTCTAAATAAAAATTGAAATATTTTTGTTTCTTGATTACCATATTTAGTTGCAAATAAAAATGCTTATTACTAGAGGTTATGTAATTCAAAGGTTCCATTCGTTTTAAAACAAACTATTTAAATTACAAAACATTTTCTCAAAAAAAAAAAAAAAAAAAAACAATTTCTCATATTCAAAAGAAAAAATACTGCTCTAGAGATAATCTACAACACAAGTGGACATAATTCAACAAAAAAAAACAAATCTTCGTGTAAATAAGTTTTTATTCACTAAATGTGTGGCAATAAAACAGTGCCACAGTGTAAATATAAACATTGTACAATTTTTGGTCAAAATGTTTCTAGAACTTCCTGAAAAGCAAGCATGTAGCCAGTTATTTTGTCAAACACTTTGCAAGATGTTGAATGTTTGACAAATTTACTGTGAAGTTTTTTAACCAACTGATTTTCAGATATTTTTTTCACATATATTTTCAGATTGAAAGTCAGACTAGTCGATTTTATATATATATATATATATATATATATATATATATATATATATATATATATATATATATATATATATATATATATATATATATATATATATATATATATATATATATATATATGTGTGTGTGTGTGTGAGTTATATATATATATATATAGTGTCAGTTAATTAAACAAAAAATTCTTCAAATTTTATAGCTATAATTAGAAAATATTTTAAATACCATTAAACAATTAAAAAAAAGTCTTTTCTGACAAATTAACTCCTAAATAACTTTAAGTAGCATTATTAGTCAATAGAAGATTACTCATGTACAAATAGTTTCAAACTACACAATGTATTTCTAATATATTTCAGATTCCCAATTAGCATGCATTTCCTACATTTTAAAATGTTCAATTACACTACTCTAGCGCAAACAATAGAATGGCTGCTACCAATGGTCAACACTGAGATCAGACTTCATCTTCCCAAAATAAAAAAATATTTGGACAATCTTTCATCAAGTACAGTAGAATAAAAAAAAAACAATGTCTATTTTTTAACAAGAGAGAATAAACTGTATAAGTATAATTCATTTTTTTTTAAACTGATATGGATTTCAGATTTTAAAAATTGTCAGAATGTTTTTTATTCCAATAAAGAAAATATTCTAAAAATGTTTATGAACACATCATTAAGCTATAAACATCTATAAAACATCACCATTTTAATATATCTCATCCAGCAACTTATGACAGATCAGTGGGTTAAAAAACTTATTTTTAAAAATGCTAGGAAAAATTAACTTATATGAAAAGTATTCAATGGAGCTGCATTAAGTCCCTTGACATGAAACAAAAACCTGACTTCAATCACCAAAAAACAATTTCAGGCTCAGAGGCTGAAACTTAACAAGAAAAAAATGGAGGAATAAAAAGGTTGTACCCATAACCACTTAGAAAAGAATCATCTTAACAAAAGATTACCCTATTGTTATAACACATACCACATACAATTTTAAAAAAAATTATTGCAGTCATATGGTGTGATCATAGAACAATATGCAGATACATACAGATGTGTAGTAACATACATATTTACATATGGATAAATAGTAACACATACTTGTAATATGGATGAACAGTAGCACATTTAAATACATCATATTTAGATTGACAGTAACATACACAATTACAACCACAGACATATTGAGATGAAAAGTAACAGCTAAATACACTAAAAAAACAACAAGAAGACATTATATCCACTAGACTTTTTCATGGATTGCAATTGTAATGGCCGGATAATGTCTGGATAACTAATTGCCCATTGGATAGTTCTACAGGACAGAAGGACAAATGACCACAGTGGATACCAAAAGCTTTTTCACACACAGATCAATTTCCTGATTTCTATCAGTAAAAACAGCAGCCAGCATTATAAATAGATTTTGATTGTAAAAAAACCAGTTTATGTTGCTCAATAAATAAATGTCAATGTTGATAGCATACATTTGTAGAAAACATACATGTCATTTATAATCTGGTTAAATACATTGAGAACTACAGGAATGAAGTAATTTTTGGTTTATATCGCAGATCAGGTAAAGTGGATTTAAATAGTGCACAACATTAGACCTGTAGACCATTTTTATTTATTGTTTGTCATTTTTAAGCATGATGAAAACATTTTTGTTTAGCTCAGTTAGGGTTAGTGTTGTTACAAATGGTTTGGTGTAGATCCATTAGCGTTCGTGTTGCTTTAAAAATTTGGCGTAGATCAGTTAGTGTTAGTGTTGTTTTAAAAAGTTTGGTGTAGATTAGTTAGCGTTGTTTTAAAAAGTTTGGTGTAGATTAGTAAGCAGCTATATGGTTGAGTGGTAGAACATTTGGCTGGTCACCCCAAAAGTGTTGAAATCAGGAACTTAAGTCCCTAACATTCTCCTGAGTCCACTCAGCTGTGTTAGCAAAACAGTGGAACACTACAAGAAAACAGATGAATTCCACAACTCTAACTTCATCTAGCCTATGCAGGTTTTAAATGTTACTTTATAAAGTTAATAATTTAAGTGTCATGGGATTAATTTGAACTAAATCAGTTACAAGTATTTGGAGAAGATCTAAAAGCTTGGTATTTCTTAAAACTGAGCTCTGGTGATCAGCTCAACCTACATAGTTAATCCTTAACCAAAGGTTAAGATATTTAAAAGTTACTATTTTATAAAAAAAAAATTAGCCACCTTCCACTTTCCAATTTCTTTTATACAAAAAAAGAAGCAGTATTGTGCCTATTGTAGAGAACATTTTGTTATGTCCCTTTACAAAATTTTAAATGCGGGTTGTCTTTGTATTTCTTATTTCAAGTACAGCACAGCCAATATTCAGTATAAATAACTAATTGTCAGTAAATTGATAACGAAGTCGCGGTGAACTAGTTTCAACTTGTTTAGCATCTTGACATGTAAAATCATTTCATGGTAAACATGGTTATAAATGCATGAAAGATACAACGATGTTGAATTGCTCTTCAATATCTGAACTACCAATTTAAATACATCAGCATTTGTTTTAATTACAAAAACAGATAAGATAACAATCAACATGTGTAAGGTTTTCATTTGAAAATGTATAACATTTCTGTGTATATTCAGCAAAAATATACATTTAACAAAAATATATTTGATAAATTGATATAGGCAATGATCAAATGTTTTAATAGGGTCAACACATTTGTACAGGATTGTCTTAATGAAGTTTTATAAATTACATACTGGTTAATTACAGTAAAACAATAATTATCTCATTACAAATAGATTTAATGGGCATGTTCTTAAAATGAGATTAATTAATGTAAATGATTTTGAACAATATTTATAAGAATATTTTTTGTAAAATAAAAATTTAAATAAAAAAATAAATATTACTCAAAACCTGAGTAATAATTAAAAACAGTAATAAATATACAACAAGCAATGCAATATACTGTTGACATGTTCTGGGGCAGCCATTTAAGATGGGATCTAAATTTTAAAAATCTTGAAAAAAATCTATCCAACTTAAAGCTTCTGATTCAAAAACATTTTTAAAATCCTCAAAATGAAATTAAACTTTAGTTTTTAAAAAATCTTTAAAGAAACTAGTTTAAAATGTGAGTGAATGAGCCCTGGGGAGGAAACAACATAGACCAGAGGTGTGGAGTTGTGATGGCCAGAGGTGTGGAGTTGTGATGGCCAGAGGTGTGGAGTTGTGATGGCCAGAGGTGTGGAGTTGTGATGGCCAGAGGTGTGGAGTTGTGATGGCCAGAGGTGTGGAGTTGTGATGGCCAGAGGTGTGGAGTTGTGATGGCCAGAGGTGTGGAGTTGTGATGGCCAGAGGTGTGGAGTTGTGTTGGTCAGCTCAGGCTTTATGTACGACCAGTGAGGTCACCTCGGTGTCCTCCCCTTTCTTCTCCCACTGGGCCGTGATCTCTTTGATGGTCTTGTTCTTGGTCTCCGGTACGTAGAAGAATGTAAACAACCAGAACAGCACCAGCAGGCCCGTGAATGGCAGAAAGGTGTAGTTACCCAGGGCACCCTGGGGGATAACAGAACAAATCTTACAACCTGATGTTACACTTCATCTCATTCATCTCTTAAAGTCATCTTAAATCAGGCTGGTACTTTTCTCATCAGTACTAGAAGTGCTGACCACACTATCCTTTCTTTGCTGAGGCCATTGAAACAAATGCCCCATATGTCTAGGGCACGAACAGGGAATGACGATAATGATTTGATAGGGATACAGTAAAATGGGACAGAGTAGCCTAGTTGTAGAGCGCTAGACTGCTAAACCAAAAGTCTCAAGTTCAAATCACTAGAACGTCCCTCAGTCCACAAAGCTCTGGTGGGTACCTGTCATGTTAGGGAAAAGATGGCTGGGTATAGTGCTGACAACACTAAACCTTCATATGCCGAGGTCATAGAAACAAATGAACTCTACTTCACCTGTCCAATGTGAGTTGGGCACAAATGGGAAAAGATTTTGATTTAATGTTAAGCTAGTAAAACATGGTGGCCCAGACATTAGACTGGCCACATTGATTCAATGTAACAAATGGAGTTTCTATTCCTCTATGTTGGTTTGATGAAAACTACCTTAAGAGTTCTTTGCTAACATGAAGTACAGCTGACCAATGACTTACCTGCATGAAAGGAAAGGTGTACCCAACCAAACCAATGACTTACCTGCATGAAAGGAAAGGTGTACCCAACCAAACCAATGACTTACCTGCATGAAAGGAAAGGTGTACCCCACCAAGAAGTTTGAGATCCAGTTGACTAGCACAGATACAGACATGGCGGCAGATCTAGGACCTTGACTGAACAACTCAGACACAATCAGCCACGGTATTGAACCTGTGCATCAGTCAACAAGTCATCAGTTAACAACTTATCAGTTTAACAGATATTAGTAAATGACAATAACACATCCATTTGTTATATTAAGGGCCTCTTTTGTACAAGCAGACACAAGGTTAAATGACAATAATTGAGTATAAAAATAGAAAATGTGCATGCTCAGCAAAATGCTGAGTACTTGAAGTTATAACAAACAATTTAACTAAATAGAAGTGTATTTAAAAAAAAAACCAATTTGATTAAAAAATAACTTTGAAGTAATCCAACATGGAACACATTCAATAATTATTGCTTCAAATTCAAGCCTTTAAACTATATATATAATAACTATAAAATAAAATTGGATTGAAAGATAAAATGTAGATCTGACCTGGTCCAACAGCAAAGAAAACAACATAGAGCAGTGAGACGACAATACTGCCAGCATTAAACCAGCTCACAGAGCCCTGGGGAGGAAACAACATAGAGCAGTGAGACGACAATACTGCCAGCATTAAACCAGCTCACAGAGCCCTGGGGAGGAAACAACATAGAGCAGTGAGACGACAATACTGCCAGCATTAAACCAACTCACAGAGCCTTGGGGAGGAAACAACATAGAGCAGTGAGACGACAATACTGCCAGCATTAAACCAGCTCACAGAGCCCTGGGAAGAAAATAACATAGAGCAGTGAGACGACAATACTGCCAGCATTAAACCAGCTCACAGAGCCCTGGGGAGGAAACAACATAGAGCAGTGAGACGACAATACTGCCAGCATTAAACCAGCTCACAGAGCCCTGGGGAGGAAACAACATAGAGCAGTGAGACGACAATACTGCCAGCATTAAACCAGCTCACAGAGCCCTGGGGAGGACACAACATAGAGCAGTGAGACGACAATACTGCCAGCATTAAACCAACTCACAGAGCCCTGGGGAGGAAACAACATAGAGCAGTGAGACGACAATACTGCCAGCATTAAACCAGCTCACAGAGCCCTGGGGAGGAAACAACATAGAGCAGTGAGACGACAATACTGCCAGCATTAAAACAACTCACAGAGCCCTGGGGAGGAAACAACATAGAGCAGTGAGACGACAATACTGCCAGCATTAAACCAGCTCACAGAGCCCTGGGAAGAAAATAACATAGAGCAGTGAGACGACAATACTGCCAGCATTAAACCAGCTCACAGAGCCCTGGGGAGGAAACAACATAGAGCAGTGAGACGACAATACTGCCAGCATTAAACCAGCTCACAGAGCCCTGGGGAGGAAACAACATAGAGCAGTGAGACGACAATACTGCCAGCATTAAACCAGCTCACAGAGCCCTGGGGAGGAAACAACATAGAGCAGTGAGACGACAATACTGCCAGCATTAAACCAGCTCACAGAGCCCTGGGGAGGACACAACATAGAGCAGTGAGACGACAATACTGCCAGCATTAAACCAACTCACAGAGCCCTGGGGAGGAAACAACATAGAGCAGTGAGACGACAATACTGCCAGCATTAAACCAGCTCACAGAGCCCTGGGGAGGAAACAACATAGAGCAGTGAGACGACAATACTGCCAGCATTAAAACAACTCACAGAGCCCTGGGGAGGAAACAACATAGAGCAGTGAGACGACAATACTGCCAGCATTAAACCAGCTCACAGAGCCCTGGGAAGAAAATAACATAGAGCAGTGAGACGACAATACTGCCAGCATTAAACCAACTCACAGAGCCCTGGGGAGGAAACAACATAGAGCAGTGAGACGACAATACTGCCAGCATTAAACCAGCTCACAGAGCCCTGGGGAGGAAACAACATAGAGCAGTGAGACGACAATACTGCCAGCATTAAACCAACTCACAGAGCCCTGGGGAGGAAACAACATAGAGCAGTGAGACGACAATACTGCCAGCATTAAACCAGCTCACAGAGCCCTGGGGAGGAAACAACATAGAGCAGTGAGACGACAATACTGCCAGCATTAAACCAACTCACAGAGCCCTGGGGAGGAAACAACAACATAGAGCAGTGAGACGACAATACTGCCAGCATTAAACCAGCTCACAGAGCCCTGGGGAGGAAACAACATAGAGCAGTGAGACGACAATACTGCCAGCATTAAACCAGCTCACAGAGCCCTGGGGAGGAAACAACATAGAGCAGTGAGACGACAATACTGCCAGCATTAAACCAACTCACAGAGCCCTGGGGAGGAAACAACATAGAGCAGTGAGACGACAATACTGCCAGCATTAAACCAGCTCACAGAGCCCTGGGGAGGAAACAACATAGAGCAGTGAGACGACAATACTGCCAGCATTAAACCAACTCACAGAGCCCTGGGGAGGAAACAACATAGAGCAGTGAGACGACAATACTGCCAGCATTAAACCAACTCACAGAGCCCTGGGGAGGAAACAACAACATAGAGCAGTGAGACGACAATACTGCCAGCATTAAACCAGCTCACAGAGCCCTGGGGAGGAAACAACATAGAGCAGTGAGACGACAATACTGCCAGCATTAAACCAACTCACAGAGCCCTGGGGAGGAAACAACATAGAGCAGTGAGACGACAATACTGCCAGCATTAAACCAGCTGACAGAGCCCTGGGGAGGAAACAACATAGAGCAGTGAGACGACAATACTGCCAGCATTAAACCAGCTCACAGAGCCCTGGGGAGGAAAATTACAGACATTTCTACAAATTTATAGATTCTTTTAATACTTTAAAATTATGACCTTTGAATTTTAAATAAAATATTTAAAAAAAAAAAAAAAACACGGATATTAAGAAAATGGTATACCAAAATAATTTGATTGGTGACTGTTAATAATAATTAGTTTAATTTAAAAAAGCTTCTTCTAAGTCACTAAACAATAAATACAACAAAGCCAACAATAGAGGCTGATGACAGGTAAAGTTTGGGTTTTGTAGCTGGTTTAAAATCACAGATCTCTAGGATTTTTCTTTCAAAAAAAAAAGTAATTAAAAAAAAAACTGTTTTTAAAAGTTCATAAAACCCCATTTATTCCCAATTAAAAAAACAAACAACAGAATGTTTAAAAAAAAAAAAAAAGAGTAGCTTACCCTTAGGGCTAAGGTTACAGTGATCAAGACACTGAAGAACAGCATGCCAGACAACCCAATCAGATGCAGAGTTCTCCTCCCTGCCCGGTCCATCAGAGGGATTGTTATGATTGTCATGACAACCATGACCACGCCAACACCACTTGTGGCATGGGTGGCTGTGTCTGGGGCTAGGCCTGCATCTTTAAACAAGCTGGCTGAGTAGTAGAAGATCTGTGAAAAAAGACATGTAGCTCAGCATAAAGCGAGGAAAATACCCTATGGGTTTCTTTAGAAGACATACACAATACTTTTAACCAACATAAATACTTTATGAACTTTTTATTAATGTGTATAAAATCTTGTAATAAATTAAAGTATTGTATGGGACCTTTCTGCATATTTGTAGAATACTTTTAATCAATGAAAATATAGTAGAGTTTCTGCACCACTACAGTGTATTAAAATGTACTGCCCATGAATTAGATGTCCAACTGCTGTACTGTTGTCATTGTATTATGTCTGTTCAAAAGACCAATTTTTATTTTCATATTTTACATAATTTGGTCATTTCTCCAATATGTACTTTAGTGTGTTTGATTTTGTAAATACTACAACAATAATGGTCAGATTTAAAACAATGAAAGCTTTAGTGTTTATAAAACTCTTCTACAAGCACTATATATGCTCATTACGCTGGGTATAACAGAGAAGATAAAGTAGGAATTACATTTTTAATTGTACATATAATCATTTGTATGAGACACCATAACGTTTGAAGTCAAGAAAATTAAATGCCATTGAGTGCTTAACTAATTTTTATAATGAAATAAATTAGGAAAATAATAACTTGAACAAGACAACAGCAAACTACACTTCATCTATTTTGTCCAGCATTAACTTATGTTAAACTTACCCCATTAATTAATGTCAAGCTTACCCCATTCATTAATATCAAGCTTACCCCATTGGTTAATGTCAACCTTACCCCATTCATTAATGTCACACTTACCCCATTCATTAATGTCACACTTACCCCATTGATTAATGTCACACCTACCCCATTGATTAATGTCACACTTACCCCATTGATTAATGTCACACTTACCCCATTGATCAATGTCACACTTACCCCATTGATCAATGTCACACTTACCCCATTGATTAATGTCACACTTACCCCATTCATTAATGTCACACTTACCCCATTGATTAATGTCACACTTACCCCATTGATCAATGTCACACTTACCCCATTAATTAATGTCACACTTACCCCATTGATTAATGTCACACTTACCCCATTGATTAATGTCACACTTACCCCATTCATTAATGTCACACTTACCCCATTCATTAATGTCACACTTACCCCATTCATTAATGTCACACTTACCCCATTCATTAATGTCACACTTACCCCATTCATTAATGTCACACTTACCCCATTCATTAATGTCACTTACCCCATTCATTAATGTCAAACTTACCCCATTCATTAATGTCAAACTTACCCCATTCATTAATGTCAAACTTACCCCATTGATACCACACAGCTGCTGTGACAACTGCATGACGATGCTGATGACCACTGGCACACGGAAGGCTGGTCTGGTCAGTAAACTGATGATGGTCACCTGGTGAAAAAATTCAATGTGGGCAGTGTACTCATGGAGTGGTATAATTATCTCTTGTGTTATGGGTGTGTGCAGTGTACTCATGTACTTGTGTGTATTTTTGCCACTTCAAACAACATGTAATAGCTGTTCTGAATGTAAAATGCTTTTAAAGTAATAACAGTGAATTATCTAATAATTTAGAGTGATCTCCCCTACTGATTCTACATTTGTGTGTGTGCCTAAATAGTTGACAAAATTAAGAGTAACATCCCTTCATAGGAGACACCACTAATATATTGAAGTATTTAAAAATAAGTTCATGTGTTTGAGTAGATATTACAAAATATTACACATAGAAGAAAAAAAAAATTGTCTTTATGTTCCTATGACAAATTCTTATGTGGCCCCATATTGTAAATTTATTTAATTCATTTTCAGTTGCAAATTGTTATTAATTCTAAATTCTGTAAACAAATTGTGTTCCTAGGATAAACCCTTTTGTCGCATTCACACAGTTCTGTTAAAATTTAACAACTGCTGCTTTGTTTTTGTGTATACAAAGACTACAGAAGCAAATCCAGAAAGAAAATCAGGTCGAAGTTGAGCCATATGGCACATAACATGTTGACACGTAATACTTGTGTTTGAGGAAACCCCCTTCAATATTATACAAATCAGAATGAAAGAGGTGAAAATGGAAACCCCCTTCAATATGATACAAATCAGAATGAAAGAGAAATGAAAAAATAGAAATACCTTTTCCTCCTGACTCTGTGCACTGGCCTCCTTCTTCATCTCATCTATCTCATCCAAGACCTGACCATTTCCATGTAGGGCTTCAAGTGCTGGCAATGATAACACAAACAGTTGGTAAAAGCATTGAATATTTAACTAGTAGAATTTCCAAACTGAAATTTGGCAGTTATTTCTCATTTTTTAGAGACTGTTTAAATAAAGTTCCACTTCCATACCTAATGATCCATATGGGAAGATGAAGTAGAGTTCACCTGTTTCAGTGATATAAAGGAATAGAGTGGTCAGCACTATGCCCAGCTGTGTTTACATTTCCCTAATGCAAGTCAGGTACCAATCAGAGCTGGGTGGACTCAAGAGACGTCATTCAGAATTGAGCCTACAGTAAAACTAGATCCACATTACCACAAGGACGAGAAACACAGATTCACTGGTCAGCACTTAATGTCTTATAAACAACGAAAAAACAATTCAATAACTGGGTCCCTGAATTGTCATAGTTAATTCTACTGTGAGTTGTGGACATGGTGAGTCAACATTCTACAAGAGATAATTATAAGAAGAAACTAGCAAAGACAAACGCTAATTTCAAAAGGTATACAGAGCTTCCAGGTCTCAATTGGAATCCACAGGGCAAAAAAAACTATTTAAAAAAAAACTAGGCCAACCATGGAAAACCTGGAGATGTGACCTGGAAGATGACATCAAGAAGATTGGATACACATGGGGGGGGGGGGGACATGACACAACTGGAGAGAACAGACTGAGTGGAAAGTTCTTGTTGGTAGCCTATGTCTCAGGAGAGATGACAGGCTAATGCAGAGCTTGAAGCAAGTCACAGATTACCAGTTACCTTCTTTAGCCTCTTCTTCCTGACTTTTTGCTATCAACAGAAACCTGGGACTCTCTGGACAAAATGGTAGAACAGCCAGCTGCAATACACATGGTAACACAGTCAGACCTAGGAAAAAAAGAATTCACATTGAATTAAATTATTAGCTGCAATACACATGGTAACACAGTCAGACCTAGGAAAAAAAGAATTCACATTGAATTAAATTATTAGCTGCAATACACATGGTAATGCAGTCAGACCTAGGAAAAAAGAATTAACATAGGATAGACCGTTAGGGACAAAGTAGAGTAGTCGGACTAAGGACTTTAGTTGTTGTAGATAGTTGTATATTTTTCTGTTTTCATGTGGTGGTGGGTTAGTGTTATTGTGTATAAATAAATAGAAATCATTGATATTTGTGTTTATCTATTCTAATTTTCTTGTTCTTGTTTACGATTCCTTGCCTAGTTCAAAAGGATTAGAGAAGGGGGTTGTTGTGTTTGTGTTGTGTTATCACACACCTTCCCTTACATATGATGTTCCTGTTACCACCACTTTCCCATACACATAATCATGAACATGGTATCACACACCTCCCCTGCAACATCATCATCGACAAGTTATCACACACCTCCAGTTTAAACATCATGATGAACATGATACCACACATCCCCACTTCCCACATCATGATGTACATGTAATCCCTAGACAACCCACTGTCCCAAGCAAGAAGCAGTAAATATCTGACGTCACCAGACCAAGATAAAGTGACAGTTCTGTCAGTGTCACACAGAAAATACAGTTAGCCATGTCACAGTTTGAGAGTACAATATATTCTCCACCCATGTACACCAAACTTGCTCTTTTGTACACACTACAGACAGCCAGGAAAAATTGAGACACACCAAGTACAAATAAAAAGACAACTCATAAATTTTCTCTAGTAAGAAAAAACGGGCCAGAAAAAGATATTGAGCTAAATTTATTTAAGCTTATCACGACAAATAAGAATGAAAAATTCTTTAAAACGAAAAGTGGTTTCTTTAAATATTAGATAGGATCATGTTACTAAATCACCAATCAATTAAGTTCGCCACAGTAAACAGATATAACAAAACTAATCAATACGGTTAGAAGTGGGTCATTTGTGTTTATACAACTATAAACTTAATGTACCGCATAAGGATAGCAGGCTGTGATTTCACATAGCCCATACTTATTTGCACACATACACACACACCAGGACTGTATGACGTAAAGACAACAGATTGTAATCCCATAAAACTCACACACACTTGCGCCCACACGCCAAACTGTATGACGTAAAGACTACAGACTAATATAAACCACACACACACACCAGACTGTATGACATAAAGACAACAGGCTGTAATCTCACATAGCCCCCCCCCCCCCCACATACTACTCAGGTTACACAAATCAAGCAGTTCAACATTTTTAAACACACTGTGTAAAATAAAAGAATTGTAGGTAACAATTGTTCATACATGTGTAATACCAGACTACAACAGACGTGTTGTGTAGTATGTGCTTTAATAATACTTGTTGTACTTTAATTAAAATTTAAAAAAAAAAAGATTACCTAAGCTACACTACGTGATAACATTTTTATATCAAGTTTTACAACAAATATTCTACTTATCACTTACTTATAGTTATGTTCATTTTCATTTAAATAATAAACCTTTACGCTTGGTATCAAATATACTTCTGACGCTTTTTTGTCTATTACTTTGTGACAGTTGTTCAATTTACAGCAAGGTATTTGTAATATGTTGAGTGTTATAAACAAACAAGCCACCCACGAATAACATTTTTTTTTTAGTTTTAGATAGATAAGAAGATGGCTGTAGAACTATGTGTAGCTTTAATGTAACAGTGTCATGGACACTAGTCAGCACTCAGAACCATACCAATGTTTCAGTGTTTACACATTTCATAGGATAAAATTAAAAAACCCTACTTGTGATCAATGTTCCCTCTAAGGGGAAAAAGTTTGTGTGCAATGTGTATTTTGTGTGGGCGGTCTTCTTAAAAGTCTTATAAAATGATGTATGTATTTTACAAAATGTCTGCGCTGCAGTTGAAAATTACTGTGCGGCCGCGCAACTTAGAGGGAACATAGCTTGTGATGTTAGTTGCTAGGAGAATATCTTTTTTTTTAAAAACAAATCATGATTCAACATGCCATTTATACATTTTTAATTTAAGGAAATCTAGTGTTGAATAAAAACCTAAACTTCAGCTTAAAAAAAAAGAGCTATTTCTTTTTTATATTTTCATATCTTTGAAGTTAAGGCTAAAACTTTAGTCTACAATTGGGATCTAAGCCCCTAAATACAAGCCTTATCTTTGACCTATCAAGTGCCATGACTATCATTCAATGAAAGCTTGAAATAAAGCAGACGGCAATAAATTTACTGATAATATATCAATGGTGAACTCTAAAGCAGAAAAAAAGGAATATTTTAAAGAAAGATTTAGAGTTCCAGATAATGGACAGATCGTGGTTAAATTCTTTAAAATGCAAATCAAACAAGTTTAATGAGAAAACACCTGCTTAAGACTTTGTACCAATCCCCCCTCCCCCCACAAGACACTAATTGGTAACTCAAAACCCCACAGTGGTTTGCTAGACTTCATGACAATCAGCTTCTGAAGGTGGACCAAAGTTCAAAAGGTCAGGTTTAATCCATGCAAAACTCTTGACATTTGGAGGTTTCCAATGTAAATAAAAAAAGGGGAGTAACTGGTACAGTCAGAGTTGTCCTTGGAACATGATAAGCCCTTTGTGTGACCAAGAGAAAGCTCAAGTGTGGTTGCCATAGTAACTCTGTTGTTTCAACAAAACCACATTATAGAGCACAATATAAGAATAGCCTTTTTCTCTATTACTTCTTAAGTGTGTGCGTGTGTGGGGGGAGAGGGGGTCCTCAAAATTATATTTAAGTGGTGGTGGACTATGGAAATATCACATGGTGTAGGGGTGTGGGTCTCGGCAAAAACCATAAAATGCTTTAAACAAAAAAGGTATACAATGTAAATTGTTTTGTCACTTTATTTTTTTTTAAAAATATCTTAATTCTTTTCAAAATCAACACAGTTGTCAACATACTTAGTTTTGTTAATAGCCCAAAAAAAATATTAGGAAAAATAGATTTTTAAGATAATAACTGAAATAACAGATTCACACATCATAGTGGTAAAAAAAATCACTAACTGTTTTAACTAACAGTCCTTCCAACAAATTTACTGTTTCAGTTAAAAGTATTGTGTTGAAGAACAGGTAATTTAAGTGGTCAGGTATTACCTAAGAGCAGGTTCCAGTATGCTGTGATTAAGTTAACAAACTAGTGACTTAAGTGACCAAGTATTACCTAAGAGTAGGTTCCAGCACTCTATGATTAAGTTAACAAACTAGTGACTAGGTATTACCTAAGAGCAGGTTCCAGTACTCTATGATTAAGTTAACAAACTAGTGACCAGGTATTACCTAAGAGCAGGTTCCAGTACTCTATGATTAAGTTAACAAACTAGTGACTAGGTATTACCTAAGAGCAGGTTCCAGTACTCTATGATTAAGTTAACAAACTAGTGACTAGGTATTACCTAAGAGCAGGTTCTCTGTGATTAAGTTAACAAACTAGTGACTAGGTATTACCTAAGTGCAGGTTCCAATACTTTGTGATTTAGTTTATTAGTTAACAAACTAGTGACTAGGTATTACCTAAGAGCAGGTTCTCTGTGATTAAGTTAACAAACTAGTGACCAAGTATTACCTAAGAGTAGGTTCCAGTACTCTATGATTAAGTTAACAAACTAATGACTAGGTATTACCTAAGAGTAGGTTCCAGTACTCTATGATTAAGTTAACAAACTAGTGACTAGGTATTACCTAAGAGTAGGTTCCAGTACTCTATGATTAAGTTAACAAACTAGTGACTAGGTATTACCTAAGAGTAGGTTCTAGTACTCCGTGATTAAGTTAACAAACTTGTGACTAGGTATTACCTAAGAGCAGGTTCCAGTACTCCATGTTGCCGAGAAGTTCCGGAAAGCCCAGTATCTGTGACAAGAGTATCCCAACTGTGACACCCAGCTGATGCAGGACACCCAGGGCTCCCCTGATGTTAGGTGTGGATATCTCCGACAGGTACATGGGGGTTAGTCCTGTATATAGGCCTAGAGGGGGTGTAAATATAAAGTTAATGAAGGGAGACCTCAGGTACATGGGGGTTAGTCCTGTGTACAGGCCTAGAGGGGGAGTTCAAATATTTTAATAAAAATTGTTACATTATAAGTTTAGTTTATATGTTGATATTTGATATTATATATGTTTGATTTTTGTCACAATCGATATTATCACAATTATTTAAATAATCAAGTCATACTGAAAACTGTATACATTTTCCTTCATCTTTTAGAACCTAGTGACTTAGACTGTTTACTTTGCAAACTGACATACAAACAATAAACAGACACATACACTAACACTTGCTGACATGAGTGAGTATAAACTAAAATACAATAATTTTAATTACATTTACACATATAAAAATAACTGACTATGAATACTCAATAAAATTTACTAACAGATAATTAACTTACAAAAAAAAAAAACATCGCCAAAATCATATTATCTACTAATACCAAAACCACCATATGACCTGAACATATTATCTACTAATACCAAAACCACCATATGACCTGAACATATTATCTACTAATACCAAAACCACCATATGACCTGAACATATTATCTACTAATACCAAAACCACCATATGACCTGAACATATTATCTACTAATACCAAAACCACCATATGACCTGAACATATTATCTACTAATACCAAAACCACCATATGACCTGAACATATCTACCAATACCAAAACCACCATATGACCCGAACACATCATCAACTAATACGTGTGAGGACTTACCACAGTTGATTCCAACAACAAATCTACCAACTATGATCATTTCGTAAGCCTCGGCTAAGTAGCTGAAATACATCAGCGCTGCCGCACACACTCCCGTCATGGTGTTCAACAGCATGCCTTTTTTTCTGAAACATAAGATTTCATCAAATTAAATTTCTGTTTCACTAAATAGTTAAACCACACAACACTTAGTATTGTAGTTGTAAGAAAAATTTTTTTTAGTTACAAAGATAGGTATTTAAGGTATTTCTACAAATGCTGGCAAATCAATACAGTGAAATTTTTTTTTGTCTAGTGTTGCTATTAGTATTAGGATTAACTTTCCAATGTTCAATATAGTATTTAAAGGTTTAACGATGTAATAAGCATAATAGGATTTGTGTTGCAATATGCATACAAGGATAATGTTGTAACAGGTGTACAAGGGAACAAATAACTTCCATACTACCCTGGTAAAAAAATAGAAGTTCTAGAAGTATTTACATTAGAATCCAGGTTAAAAAAAGGAAACTCAAAAACAAGTTCTAAAAGTATTTACAACATAATTTAGAAATGATTGAAGAAAACTCAAAAACACAGAAGTTCTAGAAGTACTTACAACTAAATTGAGATCTGATAAAGAAAACACAAGCACAAAAAAGCTCTAGAAGTATTTACAACAAAATTCAAACGAGATACAAGAAAACAATTAACATAGAAGTTCTAGAAGTGTTTACACTATAACTAAGATAAAGCACAGGTACCTTCCAAAAGTGTCTGCCCACCATCCTGCCAAAAGTCCACCCAGACATCCACCTGCGGCAAAGATGGCAACGATGAGGGCAAACAAATTTGTCATTTTCGTCTGGGACATTGGCTCTCCCGTCCGTCTTAACTCAGTCTCGTTCATAAAATTTTTAATGCTCTATTTAGGAACAACAGAAGTACATGTTTACACCTTTTAATAAATTTATAAACTTTTTTTTTATATTACATGGAATCAATATAAAATGAATATTAGATTATAACTCATGCCGAACAAAATTTCAAATATTTACAAATTTAACTAAACACTTAAAATATTATTACACCACCTATGCCTACATTTTTAAAAAAATATCAAATATAAATAAAATAACTTTTGAATATTTCACTGCGCCAACATCAATACTGTGATGGTTTATTAAACTAATCCTTTTAAAATTAAACTGCTACTTACCATTTCAGGTGAGTTGATGACGCCTGTGTTGTACCCAAACTGAAGAGAGCCAAGGACAGCACCCAACACTGACAGGCAGAGCTTCACTGTCATCTTCTGTAGAAAAAAAATAAGTCTGTTGAGGTCTAAAGGGTCATTCGTGACAACATCACACCACAAAGGCGAGGGGTTTCGGACTTTGTTGTTGATGAGAGGGGAGGGTTCTTAAAAAGTGATGACACTTTTATTTTAAAAAGTTATGTTTACAAATTCTAGCTGTTATTTTAAAAATATATAGTTTGATGAAATGAAATAAAAATGCTCAGTAGTTTAAAAAAGGAATTAGGAATTGTTGTTGACGAATCCACTATACTAACTAATCATGAAAAAAAAAAGATTTAACACACGTCCTTAATTAATTGACATAAATATACTGCCTACACTCTACACAAACCCTTGTTTTTCTCTAAAATAACTGATCTGGATTAAAAGAAGGTAGACTAGATCTGTATTTATTGCATTTTGTTACAAAGGACCAGAGTTTCTTCCAGGCATCTCTCCCCCCCCCCCCCCCCCCCCAGAAAAAAATTCTACCGCCCCCACCCCCACCGAAATGAAATTTATATAATTTATATAGAAAATATAGGCCTATACTTTTTACAGTGTCAGCCGCCCCCCCCCCCCCCCCCCAAGATCAAGATCTGCTATAATTTAGATTCTAGATCTAGCCTAGAACCTAGTCATTAAGTTAGTAGATCTAGTAATAAGTAGTCCTACTAATTATTTTAATAACTTTAATAAGTAGGCTAAATGATTAATTAAGTCACTTAAGTCAGTCATGTAAGTAAAAGTTAAAGTATTGTAAGTGGATCTAGATCTAGAAATCTAGATCTAGATCTAGATTTAGATCTAGATTTCTAGATCTAGATTCTAGATCTAGGATTTAGATCTAGATCTAGAATCTAGAATCAGTTTTATAATATTTGTCTAGATCTAGACTCTAGATTATTCTAGATCTAGTTATAGATCTAGATCTAGTTATTTATGCCGTACCAAACAAATGTTTATGATTATGTAACAAAACAAGGTAGACTACATAAAATTATTTAAAAATAGTTTAAAATAGTTTTAAGACTAAAATGAATTTAAATAAAACCACCAGTACCAGGCCCATTATTCATTATACAAAAGATACACAAATCAACATAAACATACTCTATCACGTGTAGATCTAGATCTAGATCCCGGCGCTGATTTTCCGTTTGATTTTCGTTCCATTTTGTCGTAAAGTTGAAAATAATAGCCAGGTTACTTTCTCTTACATAAGTGCGTCGTGTAACCGTAACGATAACGGCCGCGACTGAACGAAAAGACCTATGGACCTCTCACACGCTACACGGCATTTCTAGGTCAACGTGAACCCCTGGGGTGTGGGGGGCAATTTCGAATGATAGATTACTTTTTACTTTTGACCATGGATTTAGCCATTTAGTGAGATTTTAGATTTAAGACTTTCTTGATCTAAAATCTATTAGTATTAAATCTAGATCTAGAATCTAAATCTAGATCTAGATCTACTTGTACAATTTATAACAATGTATTTTCAAATTTTGTATTAGACTAGATCTAGATCTAGATCTACTTTATATTATATTATAGTTGTTAAACTATGAACATAAATAGTTATACCTATGATTGATGAAACTTTCTGTACTAGTCAAACAATGTAGGCCTATTAAAATTCTAATAATAATCAAATAATTAGATCTACGATGTGACAAGATAAATTTAAGTTTTAGGCCAAGTTCTCCTGTTCCCAGCATGATGTAATCGCTGTTTGTCGTCTGCTAGGTTAGGCTAGTCTATAATTTTGACAAATTGGAGGTGGAGTCTACGTACGTTATTTAAACTTCAACATGCATAGCCTAACATCCTAAACACAATTCTACGTAGGATTAAAATCTATTTGTAAAATCCTATTTTATTAAGTCTATAGTTAAGGGTCGGACTTCTGTTATGAGAGGGAGTGGCGAGGAGTCAGACAGCATGACGACACATAAAAACAACTTTTTACATAACGCTAGAAAATGAACTTTAACCGTTACTCAGCATTTTTAAAGAGCGTTTATGTAAGTTGTAGACCTAATAGAAATTGCTCAAAATACTATTATTCTCATTCTTGACTGAGCTTAATAGATATTTTAGAAAGACATCGATGGTTAAACAAGTTAATAAAAAGTCTAGTGACAATTTAAGCGCAATTTCCTTATGTTATCCATAACAATTTTTAATTTTTAATTTTTTGTAAATATCATCCTATAAATATAAATTCCTACACGATGCTCAGTTTAAATCATCCTAGGCCTACAAGATGCTCAGTTTAAATGTTCTTAATTAATTTTTTGTGACCGAACGAAAGGATGTTTTTGAAAACTTTCTTCGGCAATATTGGTCTAAATTATGGCAGGAATCGATTGGTAAATGTTTCAAGTCGCTAAGTGGTCTGGTTGCCGAGATATGGAGCAAAAACTGCATTTGTTCGAGGTTTTTTTTTACTTTTCCCGGAAATCCAGGAAGGAATTCCGATAATTTTTTTGGCCCTTAATCATCCTTGGAACTTGCTTAACATATTTGCTTTTGAAACTAGTCCTCGATATTGCTTCGTAGAGGAGGAGATACGACTTAAAGGCTGCGGACACACATCCATCCATCCAGAAATGACGAGTTATTAAACGCAATTTTTGCCAGTATGGAAATTGCGCTAAAAAAAATAAAGGTATAGGAGGGTGCATGCAGGCTAGACGTTACGTTATTTTAGGAGACGGGGCTGGCTTTCTGTGACGATTTGTGACGATGGGGAGGGTAAGGTAGCAAATAGTTTTAAAAAGCGTGGAGGATGTTATGGATGACCCCAATCTCCCCTGATAAAAAGGGTATTTAGGTAGACATAATAGATCTATCACTGGTAATCTCATTACATATATTCTTATGTGTAGGGTATATATGATTATAGGACCTATATAATTAAAATGGGACGGCGTGGTCGAATGGTAGAGCGTATGGTTGCTATTCTGATATTCTCGAGTTCGGATCTCGGTTCGGACTAGTGACTGTAGGCTCAGCGGCGTCGCTAGGTTGGGTGTCAACCGTTGCGGCACTTCGTGATGTAAACCCCCCCCCTCCTTAGAAACAAAGTATACATGTGTGTGTCGGCCTACATAGCCTATAATTATAATTTAAATATATGCCGCGTACATGTATGTGTATAAGCTTTAATCACTGCAGACTTATTTGTAACGATGTTTATAATATGTTAATAATACAGTGGATTAGCATTGTTTTCGTTATAGTGAGCACGTTTGCGTCATTGTGTCACCCCCCCCCCCCCCCCCTCTTGTAACAATTATTGATTTGTACTCAAAAGACAATTTAATGGATCTGGCAAAAAAGTCATTTTTTTTTCTGTACTTTTTGCAATTATTTGCTTTGGTGTCGCCACCACCCCCTTCGAACCATGGTGTCACCCCCCCCCCCCCCCCCCCCGCCCCGCCCCCGCTATGCCTCTGAGTCTGTAGGACGTCCGTGGGTCCACCCAGCTATGTTGGGTACCTAACTTACGTTGGGGAAAGTAAAGGCGGCTGGGCATAGTGACAACATTATCTCTTCATATGCCGAGGTCTCTCTTAAAGAGATACTTAGCGTCAGGCCTTCTTTACTATAATTGAAAACGGAAATTGGGCTATTGAAATAAGACATGAGTAATCGACGTGCAACATTCAAACAATGTTCGTGCTCTCCCAAAAGTCCGTAATTTTAGTTGAGCGCAGCTTAGATAGTTATGTAAATGACATTCATAGATTCAGCGTGCCGTTGCTTTGTTTTATATTCTGACCAACTCTTCTGTGTCTGTTCACACGTAGGTCTAGATCGATAGCATCCCTTTAAACAATGGTTCACTGTCAAACGTTGGCAGAGCTATGAATGGGTCATTGGATTGGGGGTGGGGGGGGAGGGGGCAATATAAATAAAAAAATTAAAAATAATATATATATATATATATATATATATATATATATATATATATATATATATATATATATATATATATATATATATATATATATATATATATATATATATATATATATATATATATATATATATATATATATATATATATATATATATATATATATATATATATATATATATATATATATATATATATATATATATATAATATTCAACTAGCTTATCAGTTGCGCTTAGCTGCAATCCAAGAAGAAAGAAAATGTAAGAATAATCGACAATCGTCAAATTAAAATATAATTTACATAGTGTCTATAAAAAAATTGAAACTTAAATTCATTTAAATATGGATACATTTAAATTGTCGTTTTAATGTTATTTATTTACTCTAGTGCTTGTCGGATGCACGATATAATAAATCAGGTTTTTCGACTCGTAAGAAGGCCACAAACAGTTGTCCCCAAGAGAAGCATAGATTCTCCAATTAACCACGGATGATCACGGATGCAAATTTTATAAGGGTTTCATCCACTTGTTTACTATTCGTGTATTTTAGACGTGCAGCTTGTTTTCTAGAACTGGGTTATTTAAATGTAAACAATGCCAGAACTCTATTTCTTGGATCTTTATTGTTGGGGCTCGTTTATTCTATACTAAAGCCCGGGCTCCTGTGTATGCTGCATGTAAAAGAATTGTGTGTACGTTGGTCACTCTCAGCTAGAATGAGATGCGATCCCCTGCTGACTTTAATCATCGATTGTAGTAGCCCACCGTATCACTAGTGTAAGGCGCACTTTAAAGCGAATGTAAGCGCCATAGTGCTAATTGGGAAAACCGGACGCTACGACATTTCGTTAGGTAGGCGAAATTTGAAACTTAGGATAAGATCTTATTCTCTGGATTCTCTCAAATTTCGAGTGATTTTCAATGAACGGAAATATTGCTTAATGCTAATGGACACCAGCGAGTTGACGAGATTCCTTCCATAATGTTGTTGGCATGGAATAAAAACGTGCTTTTTAGATTTAGACCGTAAAAAAAAAAAAAAAAAACTTAAGGGGTAAGCTTAAATTAATTTAGAAATTTTATATTTTTAGAATAAATGCTATAAAAGTTGCAAATCCAGAGAACTTGAAAATAATTTGTTGAGTTTAAGGCTACATTTCTATTTATTTTCATCAAGCCTAAGTTATAACCGGATGTTTCACTTTCATAAGACAAATATTGATTGGCTGTACAGTAACTTAGTGATCGATAACTATTTGTTTACAAAACTTTGCAGATCAAGTTTTTAAATAACAATGCAAATTTAAAACCACATGACCTACTTTTCTATTTTTAGCTTACAATGTGTACAATATAATGTATGGCGGCCTATCCAATAGCAGGATGCCATTGTTTATGTCGCCATTACACGTGAAAACCAAATTGTTTTTGCTTTTTTTTTTAAATTTTTATTTAGTTACCGAAAATATTAAAAACATCAAATACATCCAATCTTTAGTAAAGTCCGAAAAAAACCAGTCAGGCAGGATTTCATAACCATATTAATTGTAACTACGCTGTGCATGATTTTTAAATTAATTTATGGACCTCTCAAATACCTTTGAGACTTTTCTCGCTGGTGTCCATTGCGCTTTCTGAAAAAAGATCTATTCTAGCTGATCGATTTCTTCGAAACTTTTCATGTAGGTCTAGACTCGATGACATTGCACTGTGACACACGATTTGGCTGAATTAGATGTTTATTTAGCTCTCTAAAATTAATCAATGTTTCCTATATAAAGCACAATTTTCCGCGCTATTATACAAACATTATTGGTGGGCAATTATATTTTTGTACGCGATTTTATTCTATTTTAAAAATGTAATATACGAGAAAGTTTAAGGGAGATGACTCACGCTGTTTTTGTTAAAAGTATCCATTCTGGCATAGACGAGCTATTAAACGCATCAATGATTGAGTTGTTTTTCATTATACCCACTTAATAAAACGGCTCTTTTTCAAAAACACCATCTGTCTGTAATACCCCTTTTAATCTGATGTCAAATTATTCGCATACACAAAAAAAGGAATTATAAATGGTTAATTAACCATTTAACCCTTTATCTACTGACGGTACTTATAAGTACCACTTTAATTAAATGCCTGTATTATTTTTAATTTAATACAAATTTTAAAAATTATTGAAGTAATTAATAGTATTATCTCCCCTGAGTCGCCGGTAGTCGGAGGTATCAATGTTTTTTGAAAATTACTGGTGTGGCGCCATTTTCAATGTCTTGCTATATCGGTAGTTCACAATTTTTCTGCACATTTCTCACATACGTTCTTGATTTCCCTTTGTTTTA